GGCCTTTTAACAAAATATGTAAAAAGAAAAAACAGAAATACATTTTTAATATTAATAATTTATTACTATACGACAAGTCAAGATTGTTTTTTATGTAGTCTTCTGCCCCCTGTTATCAGGTATATCTGATTGTGTACAATAGGATTTTGAGCAAAGTTTTTACCATTAAATTATGCAAAAGGTGTCATAAACCGTATGTATCAAATATGATACATTTTGCATTATAGGGTAAACAATACTATGAGCAAAGTGTCAAATCAAGCAAACAGAACTGTGAATTAATTACAAAACCAAAAGAAGAAGACAAGGGGAAACGAGGACTATTTAAACACATGAGGGAAGGGAACCCCAGGTGTACACAATAGGTGATCAAGAAGACATAAAAACACACCAGAAATCCCCCCAGATATGACAGAAACCAGGAGGAAAAGCTGGAATCTCACCTCTACTTTCACGTAGTCGACGTTGGGCGTGAAGCTGAGCACCACTCTGGTGTTGTAGGCGTTGTCTCGCTTGTTTTTTACGCTGACGTTCACATCGATCTTGTCTTTCGCGGTGGCTTTAATCACCGCGCTGGAGAGGAAAATTAAAGAGTCAGAAACGCCATGAACACGTCTCCCCACCAGGGCGCAGTCATGCTCTGCCGGGATTTGAACCCACAGCTTTACAGCTGGAAAATAATGCTGACTTAAAGCAAAATATTTGATAGTCTGATTAAATAATTATCGGTTAAATATAATTATAGGTTAAACTGAGGTTAATCAAACTGATAGATGTTTTTTTAAAGCTGGTTTTGTGTTATTTCCCAACAAAAACTGTTAAATAAATGTATGTCAAAGCCTCATATAAGATGGGAAACTAATTAAAAAACACAATTTAATTAGTAATCGATAAATCTGATCCCAGTTTTACCTTTTCACACTGGGTTTTGCTTTGAGGGAGAGGTCGGTGATGCACTTCTTATCGTCTCCACAGTCCACCAAAGGAATCTGCGGGACGGGAAAAACTGAGATCACCATGACTTTATTTAGATGTTTGATCTGAACTGTGCAAAAAAAACAAAAAAAAAATCCCAAACAAGTCAAACATGGTCAAAACCAAGTTTGGCGGCAGCTCTCAGGTGAATTATGTGACCGTTTGCACATGTTGGCTGTCACATTAGCATCTGAATCATCGTCCAAAACCAGAGGCCTTTTCTTCTTCAGAAAAACCACAGCTCAACGGACTCTGAGTCTCCTCTTTTTTGGCAGGGTTTTTCTAAGTCTGCTTTCTGGTGATTAGACGTTGACTAAACAGTAATATTACACACTTATACAGTAACAGCATTACCATGAAATCGTTAGAAAATACAACAACCAGTCGACTTTTCCTAGGTCAGAATGAGACATAATCAATTTCAAAGCTTTGTAAAAAGGCCAATCTGCTTTAATATCTGTGTTAAACTCATGGTCACATGGTTTAACATGGCTTAACGATTCACCAGACTGTTGATTTTTTAAGCAAAATGTCATTTAAATGGAAATTTGTCAGTAAATATCAACAGCAGAACCTCAGCAGGAGCATCGTTTTGCTCCTCGGATGAACCTAATTTCATCCTCTTTTACCCCGGAGCCTTTAATGGTCGCATTCGCGTTTGTTCGTCTTTGCGGCCGTGTCCCGCGGGACCACAATAAGATCAACATTCTCATGTCAGCAGACAGGATGAGCCTCCATACCCCCGATATGCAGCCCAGCGTCAAAAGAAAAAAAGAAAAAGCTTCCGTTTGATGACTTCCCCTTTCAGTGCGCATTCTTCTCTTCTCTTGAAATAACAAAAAGAAAAAAACAGGAGTGCTCCTATCTTGACACGTCCACTTTGCATTACGCACAATCTACCCGTAGAGCCACCATTAGTGTGTATCTGACACACACACACGAGCTGGAACGGCTCTCTGATGACAGGCTCTCTTTGTGATCCTCACAGGCCTATCTGGGAACGCCCCTCACTGCAATAATCGTCTAGAAAACCTCGTTTCTGAGCAGATTTTGGCGTGGGAGAGTGGGAAGATTGTCCCGGCTGCTGGAGTTTAAACACTAAAAGATGGCGGTCGGCTGTTAGACGTCAACAGCAATATGTTTAAACCAAGAAACCAACTTTTTTTAACCAACCCGATTCAAAAACTGTGTTTCAGATGGACCTAAAATACCTTCCAGTCCTTGTAGATTAGAGTTAACATTGAAACAAAAAAAAACAAAAATAGACAGAATCAATTGGTCTCACTGTTTTGTTGATGGATTTGGGGAGGCTTTCATCCAGAACCGGGCCTTGGTCCTCTTTCGTTGGTCCAAACTTCAAAGACACCAACAGGGGGTCGCGGAAATCCAGTACGGACTAAGACAGGGAAGAAGGGAGGAGAGGATAGACTTAGATTTAGACTTAGACAGTACTTTATTGATCCCTTGGGAAGATTGTATGTAATAAAGTGAGAAAACAAGTTGAGCCAAAGCTTTTCGACTGACGTTTTGTGCCTAATTTCTGCCGAATCAGCTGTATAGGTTATTTCACGGATCCAAACAGGCCCAAAAGTCCCACCCCGATCTAAAATATGAGCATTTAGTGGGAGACTGTGAGCTGACAGGTCTGCAGAGATGTTTCAATCACGCCAACATGGAGAAAAACCCTCAGGGGGACGTGAGCACGGGAGGTTTGATACGGCGCTTTAGAGTCAGAGTAAATACAAAAACTCCGTCAGCACACCACCCGGCATTTTACCCCCAAACAGAAAACATCAACCTGGTGGCGGAGCAGAGGTCAGACAATCAGCGGCCGGCCGGATTCGTCCCCTGGGAGCCGTGAATGTCGGCGCAGATTTACGCGCCGGTCCGCTGGGCAGATGTGAGATGATGCATTTACTGGTAGAGACAGCGGGGGGGCAAACGCCTCCAGCTGGGGCTGAGGGCCACCGGCGGAAAGGTAAACACACAACTTTTCGTTCGTTCCTTTTGTTTGCTAGTTATTGCTAAAATTTCGGGGACTGGGATCAATTTTTTTGCCTTTTCCTGAGCTGGACGCCAGAATAAACGAGTTTAAATGAATGCATCACATGGGACGGACTCAGTAAGGATCCACTTAGTCATAAAAAAACACACGTCAAGTGCAAAATCTCCCGCTTTAAAAGTTAAATGTTGGTTTTGTTGGGCTAAACTGGGAATTTTAGCTGACTCAGCCTTTTCAGCTTGATCCTCCATGTCTTTGGAAACGCTGAATCAGCATAGAGACAGAGTTCTTTTTCAACTTAAAGGGGACATATTCTGCAAAACCAAGTTTTTTATCATTTGATTATGTACATTTGGGACTGTGGAGGGCCTATCAGCAGGCAAAGTGTGAAAAAAAATGACTCGGTCATGTTTTTGTGGGCTGCCTCAGTCTGAATCCAGGAGATAAATCAGGAGGTTTTCAGGAGTGGGTAGTTTCTGACGTCATTAGCTCTAGCTCATTATAATATTCCAGCCTTTCACCTGCATGTTGCCCCCCACCTCGGCTTACTCCGCCTATCTGTGGCAGACGCCGTGCTAGCGCGAGCGTTAGCATGGTAGCGTTAGCATGGTAGCGTTAGCGTGCCGACG